ATTTTGTTAATAAGCCCAGGGTTGAGATTGTGCCCTGCCCAGCATCTGTGTCCTCCAAAGGTTTCTTTTATGTCCTAGTCACAGGCTTAACAATGTTGATGGGGTTAAATTGCCGAGTGCATTGGTAGTTATGGAACCCAACCATATTCTCTACGAATGCCATTTTATCTTGTTCAAACAAAATTCAAACTGTATGTGGGATGAGCCTCATGCCAGGTCTTCCTGCCTGGCTCCCATAAGCACATCTAATAGTGATATCATGTTGACAATTTTTCTGCCACAATTACATTTTAATGATATAGTCAATATTTCCTGGAAACAAATTCTTTTGACACAGGTTAAGGCATTATTGTAAGTAATAATGAAGATTGCAATCTTTTCAAACGAGATTTGGCAAAATCAACTTGTAGTCTTTTTCTATTATGCCCATCCTTAGCCAAGGTAATAACAATGTGGTAATAAGACTATTTTGACGGCTTCCAAGCCACTTTTGTAACATTATCTAGTTTAATCTCAGCAACCTATTGAAGTAGCTGTCATCTCCAGCTTTTAGAAAAAGAATCTGAGGCTAATGAATTTTTTGATCACATAGCAAGTAGGAGACAGATCTTGAACTTGAGCCAAGAAAAGTTTGATTTTAACTTTCCTTCTCTCAGTCTGTCACAGTTGTGTAAAGATGGATGAAGAGTATAATCTAGGTGAGGTAATCCATCCGACAAACTGTGCTGTGCAGTGGACTGTGTTTGTTCTAGGTTGAGGACTAAAACAGGTCACCCAAACTATTAAAATTTTGGAAATAAACCCTAAAACAAAACCCAGAGAAACAAATTATCTATCTGGGAAGCAAAGGCTGAAGAACAGTTTAATCACAAGTCTTTTGGTCTACTAAAGAGCCTTACAGAGGGAGATGAGTGACGCCAGCTGTTCCTAATCTACACTGGGGCCAGGCTTAGAAGTGAAAGAGGGGAGCAAAGAAAAAAATGTTAAACTATAACAGAAGGAATAAGACAGCTTTTTTTTTTATAGTATTGTTAAATATTGGACTGTGTTGAGTCCTACGTCTCCTTTTCTGGTAGTTATTGAAAATTCCTCTTTACTGCATGAGCTCAAGTATGATTTCTCTAGAAAGAATCGTTTTGAAAAGGTTGTGTGTCTGAGAAACTCTTCACTGACCTCTTACTAAATATCAGTTAAGAACTTGAAGCAGAGGTATCTTTCTAATTATTACTTTAGCTAGGTGTGTTGACATGTACATTGACTGGCTTCCAACCACCTCAACCCCCAATCTCATACAAGTTCACAACTGATCATTCATGAGCAGCTCCTAGAAGTAGCCAGTCTCTGTTGAATTCTATATCTGTAAGAGTAAGATATTTATGTACTCCATTCTGGAACTTTCACAGTTCTAGTACTTAAGAAATATTTAAATTAGTAATGCTGGTCCTGTAGAGCAAGCTGAACATCTCACCTGCTCTTGGCTAGGAAAGCTATCTGTCAAACTCAGCACTAGGGACCAGGTATGCGGGCCTCACATTGATGATTTGAATTGGGTCAGAAATCATGCAGGATTTTGTTGTAGGTTTAGCTAATAGAATAGTGATTTTTGTTTGTTTGTTTCTGTTGTTGATTTGTTTCTTCCATCTGACATAGATAAGTAGAATGATTTAGATGACACATTAAAGAAAATGCTACCTTAGTTCTCTTTACTTGCTTGCTTCTCATTTTACGTCTTGGGTGATAAAGGAGGAAGGGTGAGAGGGATGGGTTCCTGGGTGGGTGGGGGATGGGGTAAGGGGACAACATATGAAATGTAAATAAAACATCCAATAAAAAAATAAAAATAAATGCTAGAGCATGTCTTTTTCTTTGTATTCCAAGATCCAGTTATAATCAGGATTTTTGTGGAATCAACAATGGCCTTGAATTTCACAAAGACTTCTTAATAAAAAAGATACATGTTGTGTCACTGAAAGATTTATACCAGCTTTTGTATATGAAGTGATGAAAACCAGCTAGAAACCAGTGACAGGAAAAACATGCAGTACTGAAGCATACAGGTGATAGGAAGAAAAAAAATAGGATGAAATTTGCTTTGAAAGTGACTAACCCAGAGATACACCAAATCACTTGTGCAATTATGAGAAACATGGTATCTTGAGGACCCTTGACATATCTAATAAGTCAAAGTCTTAAGAGTGGAGCCCAACCTAATATCCAAAATGTATAAAGAACTCAAGAAATTAGACATGAACAAAACAAATGACCCAATTTTTAAAATGGGGTATGGATTTAACAGAGAATTCTCGACAGAAGAATCTCTAATGGCCAAGGTGGACTTAAAGAAATGTTTAATGTTCTTAGTCAAGAAAATGCAAATCAAAATGACTCTTAGATTCCATATTACACCTATCAGAATGGCCAAGATCAAAAACTCAAGGGACAGCAGCTCATGCTGGCCCAATTGCAGATTAAGGAGGGCATTCCTCCACTGCTGGTAAGGGTGGGTACAAACTTGTATAGCCACTTTGGAAATCAATTTGGTGGTTTCTCAGAAAATTGAGCATAGTAAAGACCCAGCTATATCACTCCTGGGCATATTCCCAAAAGATGTTCTACCATACCACAAGGACATTTGCTCAGTTATGTTCATAGCAGCTTTATTAGTAATGCCAGAAACTTGAAACAATCTAGATGGCCCTGAAAAGAGAAAAATGAATAAAGAAAATGTGGTTCATCTACACAATAGAGTATTACTCAGCTATTAAGAACAATGACATCGTGAAATTTTCAGACAAATGGATAGAACTGAAAAAGTCATCCTGAATAAAGTAACCCAGATCCAGAAAGGCAAACATGGAATATATTCATTTATAAGTGGATATTAGCCATAAAGTAAAGGATAACCCACACTACAATCCACAGACCCAAAGAGGATAAGTAACAAGGAGGATCCAAGGGAGAATGGTTGAGTCTCACTGAGAAGGGGAAATAGAATAAGAGGTTGATGGAGGGAGGGACTGGGTAGGGGAGGAGGTGGAGATTGGAACAGGCTCAATCTGGTGGGGCTAAGTCTGATAGAGTACTAGGTAAGACAACTGTAATTGGGAGAGGAGAATATCTCTAAGATTAGCTAGAAACCTAGGACAATGGAAATTACCAGGAATCTATGAAGGTGACCATAATGAAGACGCCTAGCAATGGTGGTTATGGAACATCATTAAATTCTTAGGCAGTTGGATGGAACTAGAAAATATCATCCTGAGTAAGGTAACCCAGTCACAAAAGAACACTCATGATATGCACTCACTGATAAGTGAATATTAGCCCAAAAACTCAGAATACCCAAGATACAAGTCACAGACCACATGAAGCTCAAGAAGAAGCAAGACCAAAGTGTGGATGCTTTAGTCCTTCTTAGAAGGAGGAACAAAATATTCATGGGAGGAAATATGGAGACAAATTGTGGAGCAGAGACTGAAGGAAAGGCCATCCAAAGAGTGCCCCCCTGGGGACCCATCCCATATACAGTCACCAAACGCAGACACTATTGTGGATGCCAAGAAGTATATGCTGACAGGAGCCTGATATAGCTGTCTCCTGAGAGGCTCTGCCAGAACCTGACAAATACAGAGGCGGATACTCGCAGCCAACCATTGGACTGAGCACGGGATCCCCAATGGAAGAGTTGGAGAAAGGTCTGAAGAAACTGAAGGTGTTTGCAACCCCATAGGAAGAACAACTATATCAACCAACCAGACCCCCCCCAGAGCTCCCAGGGACTGGACCACCAACCAAAGAGTACACTTGGAGGGACTCGTGGCTCCAGCCACATATGTAGCACAGGATGGCCTTGTCGGGCATCAATGGGAGGAAAGGCCCTTGATCCTGTGAAGACTCCATGCCTCAGTGTAGGGGAATGGCAGGGTGGAGAGTTGGCAGTGGGTCAGTGGTTGGGTGGGAGAGCATCATCATAGAAGCAGCGGGAGGAGGGATAGCATTCCTGGGATGGAGTGGGGGACCAAGAAAGGGAATAATATTTGAAATGTAAATAAAGATAATATCTAATAAAAAGAAAGAAGAAATTCAGTTGGAGGCATAGCGCCTTCAATTTCCCCTTGAAAATCACATACCCTAGCTCACTGTATTTGCCTGTTGATTTTTACATCCATACCTTCCCTGTGTCCCTCATTTAGCCTAGGTAAGTTGTAGGCTTCACCATGCTCACAACTGCCTTTCATTCTATTATTCCACTGCCTCCAACCAAGCAGGTAAATAGCAGATATACCACAAACACTGTGAAGTATATGAGAACTAGTATTTATTTTAATGGTAATCGGAAATAATTTTGGAGGTTACTTTTTTACCCTAAACTTTCATTCTGCTCATTTATCTGTTTATGAAATAGTTATAAAATGCCTCAGTATACCAAGAATTATGATAGTTGCCCTGATTCAACTCTGATAATACCCAGATAGTCATAGCATCAGTGCTTATCGTGTAGTGGAGGAAACTGACAAAAAGTGTGTTATATCCAATGTATAGAGGTCAAGAGGTGAAGCTGGAATCGTAAGGGCACAGGCAGAGGGGCAGCCAATTCAAATTTTAGATCAGGAGGAGGTGGTACTTGGTCCCTTACTTAGTCCCTCATTTGAAGAAAGGGCACACATATTCCAAGCAGAAGATACACTGTCTAAGATGATAATGGTGCTTTAAGAAGGATCTGGGGTATTGGTTTGGAGAGGCCTGTGTTACAGGGTGGGCAGTGTCTAATGGGTCAGAAAGTAGATAAAGCAGTAGAAGGAAGCCCAGTGCGGGGAGGAGAGCCCAGTGAGGGAGGAGAGCAACCAGACTTTTTAGAAGAAAGGTCTTTAGCAGTTAGTGAGGGATGAATGCATGAGGGAAAAGTTGTACTCAGAAGTGACAGTCCCTGGCAGTGGACTAGATTAGAAGAAGAAAGGAGAGTCAGTTTCTCTCTTTTTAATCCCTTTGCTTTACTATAGCTCTTGTCAAGTGTGAGGCAAAGGCCTCCAGAAGCAGATGTGCAGCAGGACTCTCTGCCACCGTTTGGTAGGCCGCTGAGTGCTGACGGGGCCACAGCCACGGAGGAAAGGTTAGTGCTCCCTCAGCAGGGGATTGGCGTTTGTTTGGGGAAATCATCCCTCATGGTGGGTTAAGTGGAAGATGTCACTAAGCAACCTGCATTACTCAGAGGTCGCTTTGCTTTGTGGGTGTGAACTCCCGTTAATTCAGTCTAGGATGCATGAGCCACATTCACATTCACTTCTTGAAAATGTCTCGTGTTGTCAGTCCTCATTCAAAAAGTACTCATTCGTTTTAGGATGTTTTTGGTTTTTTTACCATCTAAAAATTAACATTTAATATATGCCTTTAAGTAAATTTCATAAAATAATTAAATTTGAAAGGAATGTAAGCTGATTTTTTTTTTTTTGTCTCTAGCCCTTTGTTTTATACTCGAGAAACTCAAGATGGGGAGGATCAGGTGAAAGCCCTGCTTTCAGATCACATGGCCCACTGGCAACCGTTACTGGCCACAGGATCCATGCCTCTAGTGTAATCCTTGGTTCTGGATGTTTCTGTCATGGGCTCTCAAAAGCTGGAGAATGTGTTTAAGCTTTGTGTGCTGAAAAGTCCTTACACTGTGTTTTTGCCCAGTCTTCGTAGTATGTAGTTGACAAGAGCCATATATATGAAATAGATAACACGATCTCATATATACACACAGTGCGATAAGTACTGCACTTAAACAAACGTATCCATCACAGCTCATCATCGGTGGAAGTGCATGTGTGCACATGTGCACACGTGTGTTTGAACACAGTCTTAGCCAGCTTCAAAGAGGTGTGCTGACTATAGTAGCCATGTTGTACAATAAGTCCCCAGAATTTACTTATCTTCTAACATAGAATAAGCATTTTTGGTCAAAGTCTCACCAATTTTGCAATTTTCTTGCAATCACAATTTTATCTTCATCTTTCTGGAGTTGCACATGTTTATATTCTACATGAAAATAGATCAAGCAAAGGACTCACTTAGAAACTACAGATAATTTGGGTCATAGTTTAAAGTTTATTCAGTTATAAGATGTAGCAGATGTCAGCTGATCTGTATATTAACTGTTGCAGTGACCAGATGTTTTTACTGCTGTAGTTATCACTTGTAAATGACCTGTGAGGCACTCATACCTGGCTAATGTTAATTAATTAACTAATGTTTTAGATCTTTCTTACTGTCTTCCTCCGTTAACGTCTATTTCTTTTCTTGTATATTTATGAAATTATTATAGTATGCATCTTTACCATGCTTTTTCTTGAGCTCTTTAATAGTTGTGTGTCTAAACTACACACTAGTTTTTCAGAAATGAAATATAAGGAAAGTATATTTGAGGAAGATTGGGGATGACTTTAAAAACACCCTGGAATCCCATACAAATGCTGGAACTCACAGTGAGGCTTGGATTGAACCGTCTGGTGCCATGCTCTGCGTAGTTCAGCTTTCTGCACTTGTTGTGCTATTTGGCCTCATTGTTAGTTTTAGGATCTCAATCTTTCTGGCAGAATATCTAACCAAGGATTGTTATGTAGAGGTATATTTTCGGAATAAGTAACGAGCTGTGTTCTCTCTCCCTCTCCTCCTCCCTCCCTCTTCCATCCCTGCCTTCCTCCCTCTTTGTCTCCCTCTCTCCATCCCCCTCTTTCTTTACCTCTCTCTCTCTCTTCCTCCATCTCTCACTTCTCTTTATCCATTCTATCACCCTCCCTCCCAACTCATAGGGTGGGGTAGAGTCAAGATATAAAGGATGGAAGAAGAAAAGAAAGACAGGTTCCAATTAAGAAGAAATTGTTTGCCGTTTTTTACCATACTAATAATATAGGCCCATCTTCTGTGTTTACAAGCAACTGAGGGGTAATAGAAGATTGCCATTGCTTGATGTTTCCTAATTGTCTTTTTCCTAGACAACATTGGAGAAGATATGGCTGGCAGAGAAGAGAAGATGCAGAATGCAACCAGAGTGCTGAGGATAAGTCAGCTGGATGCACTTGAACTCAACAAGGCCCTGGAGCAGCTCGTGTGGTCCCAGTTTACTCAATGCTTTCATGGATTTAAGCCAGGACTGCTAGCGCGCTTTGAGCCAGAAGTGAAAGCATTTCTGTGGCTTTTCCTATGGAGGTTCACCGTCTACTCCAAAAATGCCACTGTGGGGCAGTCAGTTTTAAATATTCAGTACAAAAATGATTCTTCTCCCAACCCAATATACCAACCACCAAGTAAAAATCAGAAACTGTGGTATGCTGTGTGCACCATTGGGGGGAGGTGGTTAGAAGAACGATGCTACGATTTGTTTCGAAACCGCCATTTGGCGTCTTTCGGGAAAGCCAAACAGTGTGTGAATTTTGTGGTTGGACTTTTCAAATTAGGTGAGTTGATGAACTTCTTGATTTTCCTACAAAAAGGAAAGTTTGCAACTTTGACAGAACGCCTCCTTGGCATTCATTCCGTATTTTGCAAGCCCCAGAATATGCGCGAAGTTGGCTTTGAGTACATGAATAGGGAACTTCTCTGGCATGGCTTTGCTGAGTTTCTGATTTTTCTCTTACCACTCATCAATATCCAGAAGTTGAAAGCCAAATTGTCTTCCTGGTGCATCCCCCTTACGGGCACTGCTGGTAGTGACAGTACAGGAGGCAGCAGTGGAAGAGAGTGTGCTCTGTGTGCAGAGTGGCCCACCATGCCCCACACTATTGGATGCGAGCATGTATTTTGTTACTACTGTGTTAAGAGTAGCTTCCTATTTGACATATACTTTACATGCCCTAAGTGTGGCACGGAAGTACACAGTGTGCAGCCATTGAAATCAGGAATTGAAATGTCAGAAGTGAATGCTCTTTAGAACCCAAGTTGTTTGCTCTGAGGAAAGTGTATTGCATCCCGTTCCTTGGGATTGGTCATCCTTGGTGTTATCTGTAGGTGGCTTTTAACAGGAGTGTGCTGTGCAGCCACGCTCGGTCTTTCCAAGCACAACTCAGTTCTAATCACTGGAAACCAAATGATACTAGAGAATCTTAGAAATGATCATGTTATTTTTTTAGATCACCTAATACAACTTTTAATGTCAAGAATACTGGAATTTTTTTGTCAGATGAATAGCAGGAATGACTAAGAATGCGCCTTCATAGAAAAAGGTCAGACTCTAAAAATAAAAGATATTTGAGACTCTGGGATGACTGTGCATTTATTTTCGGAGAAAACGGAACATTATAAGCTGACATCGTAAGACTCTTTTATGTTGACTCTCAAGTTCTAATGTCTCTCTGGTAACTCAGCTTTTCCCTGAAGCCTGTTTTCAAGAGGTTCAGTCCATAGCTGTCAGACCCCGTCAGAGTTGAATTCTTACACTCAAAATGTAGAAAATTCTTAAGGCAGCCTAGAAGTGAGTTCTGGGGACTGTGGGACAGCTAGGATGAAGAACTCTATTTTCTAAGTCTCTAGGATCAACACTCAGGTTCACACTAAGCATATTGGTAATCTTAGGAAGTAAGTCTAGAGGTCTTCTGTACTAATGATATAGGAATTCATATCACATGGAAATGCAAATGTAAAAAAAATAAAATAAAAGTTTATAACAGGCTTACTCCGTGAGTTCTTTTTATTTCTGAGGGATACAGGACATGAACTCGGCTTAAAACCCTGCCTGTGCCATTTCTGTGTGTATGTTAAGGACAATAAATACATGTTTAGAACAGAATTTAGTTTTTTGTTACTGTGAAAAAAAGTCCTGAAGACAAAGGAGGAAAAACTTCTTTGGATGTGTGGTTTCAGAGTTCTTAGCCCTAGAATCAACTGGATCTAGTTGCTCTAGGTATGTTGGAAGCCTATGGTTGAACGAAGATGTCTACTCATGGCAGACAAGCAGGTAAGAGAAGCTAGTTTCTTCCACATCCTAATAATAATGTCAAATTATCAATCTCTGATGACGACAGAGCCCTCATGATTCAATTACTTTCTATTAGCTAACTGCCATATTTTTAACACATGAGCGTTCAGCAAACAGTTTAGATTCAGACAACAGCAGATGAGATAGTAGTAATTCTTTCCATTACTGGTGTCATTAATGTCCAGAATTGGCTTCATTCTCAGGGACGGTATTTACCACATTAGAGGTTTTCATTCTGCCAGATTTCTCATCCCACTGGATTGATACCCTCTTGCTGAATAGTACAGCAGAAACAATAGCTCACTGTTAGTGCTCTGACTTGGATTAAATGCACATTTCTAAACCAATCACGATGGATGGGGGGACCCCAAGTTACTGTGGGTGACATTCAGAAAAGAACCTATAATCTAGCAGCATAGGAAGAGGCAGGCTCTGTGGTCTAACTGTGGATAGCAATTGTGGGTTAGAAAGATGGCCGTGGCTCATCAATAACGGGTACCTTATGTTCTGTATCATTTGGTTAAGAAGACAGAGAAGTTAGTATGCTATATTTGAAGAACCCTTCAAACTTGGCACTGAGAGGCAAAAACTTGATTTCTTTGAAACATTCTCTTTTTAACAAAAATGCTGCTTTTCCTAATAGTACTCAATAAGAGAAATGTGGCTGTTTTAAAATGATATTTTCAGCAACAATTCTAAATGTTTGTTTCAGCCAAACAGCTTGAGCTACTTCTCTATAGACTGACGTCTTTGAGTCTCTGAAGCTAGATCTAGTATTTAGTGTGTGTGGTTATATAAACTAGAATCAACTGTAGATTTACCTTCATGAACACAAATAAGTGTGTGTGTGTGTGTGTGTTCCCGTCAAAGAGTATATAAAGAATGAAATGATAGAATTTTTCATCTGTATAATTTTGTTTCCTCTATTTTCTAGAAAAAAAAACTTACAGTTTTAAACTTTCAAAAAATTGAAATACAAGGACCATTTTACACAATGTCCCTCATTGGCTGGGACAGTATCCCTCATTGACTTGCACACTGGGTTATGGTTTTGGCAACTATACTGAGTCCAGCAAGGTTAAAGTCCTAAGGCTAGGAGATGTAAATGAATTGTCTTCTTCTAAATATTAACTTTCTTTTTGTTAATTATAGAACAATACGTTCTTAACATGCTTAACAGGTCTTTTCTAAACCCTAGAGCCAAGAAAACATAAATATTTTGAGGTTAAATAACACAGACTTTGAAAATCAGGCTTATGTGGACCTGTTTGTATCCATCAAAACCAAAATTGATCAGAAGAAAATTATATGAATTGTGGGTATAGATTTATTGAAAATATGTTCAGTGCAACATAGTCCATAACAAAGATATGAAATCTCAACTAAATGAAAGTAAAAAGCTGTTTACCTAAATAAAACAACATTACATCAATACCATGAGAAAGACTGCTCTACAGAAATATGGATGAATCGTTTTAAAGTGTTCACCATGTAATATTAAGGTGATAGAATTAAGATACTAAATTAAGTGTGATGTAATCTCAATTAGAGATAAATAAACATTAACAGTAAATGCCTTTCCATGTGACTCAGTTTTACTTCTCCTGTTTGGTCTTTACTAAATTTTTAAAATTAGCAAGTATTTTTTAATTAGCACAAATGTAGAAATTTCCTAAAGATCTTTCTGTGCATTGCTTTTTTAAATTTTTTCATTGGATATTTATTTACATTTCAGATGTCATCCTTTTTCCCCATCCAGTAATTGCATGAAAAATTCTTTTTATACTCTTGGAAAGAAACACACGCATGAAAGATCAGTTCTAGGTTGGGGAACTAGCAAAATAATCAATGTCCATTGCATTTCAATAGAGCTGTTTTCATCTATATGGTGTGGGAGGGACATGACTCATTTGACCAAGGGCAAGTTACTAGTGGTTATAACACAGTAAACTAGACCTTTCTCCAAAAAAAACCATTAACTTCCTGTAGCCCTTCGGAGACGGATGGGCCCTTATGCATCCTTCCCCCTTCCATGGTAGAATAGCAATGGGTCTCTGTCTTATAAAAGAAACTGACAAAAATTAGAAAGACATAAAAGTGGAAAGGACTTCATGTGAAGAGGAAAAGTTTAGGTTGAAGCAGATAAAATATGTTTTAAGGGATTCAGAGTGGTTCTTGACATAAGAGAATACTAATGCCAGGTGTATGCAGGTACAAAGTTGTGTGTATGTGTGTGTAGGGTGTGTGTGCATATGGTTGCAAAGGAATAAATACACTTAAAAATATTTTATGGTCCACTTTGCTGCAGGTCTACCTAAACGCAAAACATCTGCACAACTACTAAACACAACTTTTATATATGTAAGAGTTTTGAAGAGTCAAGATTTTAAACTACTAGAATCCCTATTTTCTGAACGAATATAAGGTCCACATTTATAGTAAGCACAATTTTAAAAAATATCTGAATTGTTTCAATACCTCTTAAAAATTACATATGAATTGTCAAAATGTAAAAGTTCCTAATCCCTTTTCCTAAAGTACTTGTAGAGTCCACACATAAATACAAGTATTTGTAAACAAAGTGAGCAACTTTTTGGTATATTTTAAAATAAAATTTCTTGTTTACCTAAGATATCTGGAGTGAATATATTAGATTAGAACACTTCAAATAATAATGTTATGTCATCAATTGTCCAAATCTACAAAATGACTGTTTTTCCTTGACTGTTTGTCAAGATCCAGAGTATGACCTGGGATTTTCTATGCTTTCAAGATGCAGACATGTTGATACTGACACTTCTGAGTATGATAGTTTGGCTGCCAGTCAGAGACCATGCATATTTAAAGTTCAGCTGAGTCTGGATGTCAATCATCTCCATTCTGAATGTATAGGTTCAGTGTCTCCCTGGTGCTGTTGAGTGTTTCAGAATGGTTACCCAGAACCCAAGGCATCCATAACTGCCACTTTTTGTTTCTCATACGTGAAGGGCAGATAAGTTATTTGAGAACAGAGGCTTCTGGCCACCATTGTCTATGTTCCTGTTACTGATCATTCTCAGATCTAGTAGGATTCTCAGTTTCAACACAGGATGAGTATGTCAAATAGAAAGATTGTCCATGGTGGTAGGGAGAACAGGAGCTTCCATTTTTATAACAGCACAAGCAACAACTGGCAGAATATAGCTGCTCTATAGCAGTTTGAAGAAGAAGCTGAGAGTTACTCTTCAAGCCCTTCAGAAACGCAGTGTGATACAGCTGATGGTCTTTGTGCAAGAAGACTTTTGTAGGCATGCCTAAAAAGATGCAGGGAGCCTAAGGGTCCCTGTGTCTTTGATCTGTGTCTTAGGAGTGCCATTTTTAATTTCAGTGTTCTGTGACATCCTTGCTTTAAGGAAAAATACAGCTGGAAAACAGGAGTAAAATAAGAGAATTAATAAATTTTCTTTGAAAATACATGCAATTTTGGAGCTGTCAATTTCAGCTATGTCTCTTTAAATACCTTTTCTACTAAAATACAACTGGGTAGATGAGATTTGGATTTCTTGTTGTTTTTTAAATTCCATTATAAAAGTAATAGCACTGTTTTTGGTGTTTTGTAAGCAGATAATATTCTGCTGGTGACTGTCTCTGCATAATGCATTACTCTGAATTCTGAATTCTATTATTTTACATCTACAACAGCTTAAAGTGTATTTTTTTATAAACAGTAAAGTTTGCTTCATAAAAATTCATTCTATAAGGGCATACATAAGTGTCTTTCCTTCTAGTCATTGCAGTACGTGATTCAGCTTTCCAGGAAAAAAAAAAAAGACAAAAACAAAACCAATTTCATTACAGATGTTCTGAAATTTCCAGGCTCCCTGAGCTGTAGAACCATATCACACCACGCTATTGCAAGGGCTGTAAGGACTTTCCGAAGGCCTGTGCTCACTCTCTTTAATAGGATTGAATATCATTTGCTGTCATGTCGGTTGTAGGTTCTACAAAAAGAAAAAAAGAAACAAAGAGGAAATAATCAGCCTCTTATTCCTCCTTTGCATGTGTTCATTCCACATTGAATGGATAATAGTAAAAAATTTAAAAAATTTTAAAACCAACAGATTCTTGGATGTCTAAAGACAAAATCATTCCTTTTGCTGTCATCATAGCAAAGTATTACGAGAAATGAAATTTCCAATTTGCGTGTGTGTATGTGTGTGTGTGTGTGTAATAGATATGATATTTATCTTTCCCCTTTCCAACTTCAGAGTGATATAGGGGAGGGTGAGACTGGAGAATCTCAGTAAATATCTATCATCCAGTTATCAATGGGCTCTTGGCATTTATCAGTTACTTCCAAAGATAGCTTGAGTTTAGTTTTGTCCACTTTTTTTTAGGCTGAAAGATGAAAAATAGAATCCATATAAAGAATACGGAGATAAGAAGGGGAAGGAAGCCTATAGTCCCCAGAGACGGTGTACTCTTAAACCTGTGTGTGCTGAATGAGCATTTTTCCAAAATGCTGACAGGGGAAGGCTTGCTGTCTCTTAAAGGACTAGGAAATTCAAGTCAGTCTTTTCAAAAAGATCTTCAATCTCTGAACTCAGCTTTCAAATCAAAGTATGATAATTAGGTTAATTTTTTAAAAATATCAATTGTGTGGTATTGTAAGAGTGGATCGGCAGATTTTTGAGGTAATAATTAGATACTTAGCTGGT